GTAGCAATATCAGTTATCAATATCATTATATTAGTTACTGTATAAAAATACAGTAACTAATATAATCCCTGATAGAAATAATGGCCGCTCTAAGTTTTAATAGCAACTCCATTATATTTGGAGGAATCAACTGTTTCTTAAACAGGGAGATTTATAAAATGTAGGAAAATATCAAATGGTGATGACCTTTGTTTTTTAAAAGGTTTGAATATGGTGTTTATTCTGTTTCTTACAGTTCTCTTTTGGATGAGAACAAGAAAATTAAGGAGTAGCCTAGCCTTTTAAATATATCATCCTCAAGCAAAGGATAATTCTAGCTGAGATGGGAGCCTTCTGTTGGTTAGGTCCCAGTCTGAAAAGAGTATCTTCTTGGATTGGGACTTAACTAACAGAAGGCTCTGTGGCCGATCACCTGTAATATCCTGGTATTATTGTGTAGCTTGGCAGTCTTAATTTGAGTGCAGGCCAAGCGCCTGCACGCAAATTATTTTTTTTATTTATTGTGTTATTTTTTATTTATTGTGTCAGAAGCAAAGTGAGGGTACAGTTATAATGTCTTTAAAAACACAAACACAGCTGAAAACTTGGCATTATGCTAAATGTCTTTTGAGAATAGGTTGTCCACTTGGAGTGCCTCTGGTGTTGTTGTGAGAAGGTCCTCCATTGTGCATGTGGCAGGGCTCAGGGTGCATTGCAGTAGGTGGTCTGTGGTTTGCTCTTCTCCACATTCGCACACCACGGACTCGACTTTGTACCCCCATTTCTTATGTTAAAACCTTATATTTCACCCTTGACTATAAGAGCCAAATACTGGATTCCTCCCTGCTTTCTTTTTCTCCTCCTATGGTGTTATCTTATTGGTGCAAAGCTTGGTTGGAAAAAGGAACACTTAAATTAATTTCAGGGCCACTATTTATTGCCATCAAGACAACCTTTTTGAGAACATGATGATTATAAAGTCAAACTTGCGATGAAAACATTTGTTTGATCCACTTCATTGTGGGTTTGCCCTTTGATTATTTCAGGCCACCAGAGGTCTTTTTCTGCCAGGGGAGGTAAGGTCCAGTGGCTGCAGAAGTAATAGGATTAACATTTTGTGAGAGATGGCTGCTGTTTCAATGATGTCATAGGTTACATAGTCACCAATTCTTTGCAGTTATATTAGCAGAGTGTACTTACCTTGTGTCAGTGGCATTCTTCTATCCTCTTTGCATTTTAAGTGAGATTAATAAATGAAAATATGTTTTAGTGATGGGGTGTAATTCATTGAAAGATTCATGAAGTTTCACTGACATTGTTGCGGTATTTAATTAGTCTGTTGAAAAAAATCCAGAGTGACCCTTTAGGAAAGCTGATAAGTCATATAATAGCTGTTAGATCCTCTTTATACTTTGCTTCATAAGATTAACATTGCGCTAAGCAATTTATGCTAAGTTTTCTCTTTTATTGGTAGTCGTAGTTATCTGAGGTTCATGAATAGATTATAACAGATAACATCATGTAATTAACAAGAGATGCTGAAAAGTAAAAGTACAATTTGTGTAAGAATTATATGTGAGAGAATGTTAATTTCTTAACTAGGGAGGATATTTGAGGGGATAAAAAGGAAAGCAAAATAGTATAATTCTTTGACAGGATTAAGGTAACCTTATCTCATGTTCTTTTAGAACATTGGATTGCTTCTGTGTGTGGAAATCATGCTGAATGAGTTCTTCAGATGTCTGTAATAAATTGGAGACAAGTTAGCTTTGAGGTATGGCTGTAGTAATTGATAACTCTCATATTTGCTTGTTGTAAAATGGAAGCAAATATTCAAGGAAACATAACTGAACAATGCTTTCTAGTCATAATTTGCAACTCTGGAAAGGCAAATGGTGGCTTTTGTATACATCAGGCAGTATCTGATTGACTGGCTAGATCAGTAAAAAAAAACTTGTACATTTGCCTAAAAGTTGCTCTTGGTTAATTGGGCTGAAGCATTTGGATTTTTGAAAATATAAGAATGTATGGAAACGCTGGGGAATAAGCATAGTCTTTAATTATTCCCCCTGCTTTCACCTTGAAGAGATTGCCTTTTTAAGGTGATCAGCAGAAAAAGACCATGCATCCCTAGCAGAAGTGTATGGAGTTACAAATAGACGCTTTCTACTATATTGCCTTATCTGATAAGTAATAAAAAAAAGAATAAATATGTGCAGCCCCTGAGAAATCAGTTTATGTACAGACCAAAACATATTGGACTTTTTAGAGAATACATTTGGACCCATAGTAAACGCATGGAGACCAGTTTCCTCTTTTTGCTGATTCTCAATATGTGGTTTTCAGTTTCTGTTCTTGCTTTTCTTTAAAATATTTGCCTGCTGGGACCTGTGCATCAGTTAAAAACAGTGTCCTTTTTCTTCAAAACTTTGTTCGTTTGTTTCTATACATATTGCATCAACTCAAAACCTGCAGCTACTCAGTGAAGGTTTTGTTAATAATGTGACTGTACTAATTCTTTTCTTCAACCTTTAAATATAAGAGCTGGGAGAGTTTGTGGCTCAGGGACCTTGAGCTCAGCAACGGTAGGCGTCAGGCCTGTCTCACCTCTGCTATAAATTCATTGGGCCGTGTCTTACCTTACTAATGCTAATCTGCTTCACAAAGTTGTCATGAGGATCAGTGACAGATGCTCTGTACAAAGACTTTTGGAACACACCCATATGATATAGAAATGTCCTTAATGTAGTACATCAGATACTGTAAAGGATACAGCCTTTACATTATCAAGCAGAAATAGGCAAAGTGCAGACTCCCAAATGTTGTTGAACTGCAACTTCAGTTTTCCTTATTATTAGCTATGCAGATCAGAGCTGATATATGCTGCCATTCTGGGGAGCCATACTTTGCTTCCCCTCCGCACTAAAGTTGTGCAAGTGAATAATCTGTAGAAAGCTTTGAAACCAAATCTGTGTTTTTGGTGCAACCTGTACTTGTGCTCCTCCAGATTGATCAAATTGAGGAAGGGGCATAAAACTAACAAAGATCCTATTTGTATTTTTAAAATGTGTTATACTAGTGTATAGTCTGTCTTTGTGATTATTTTCGACCATATGTGCTCACGAATCATGATACTGAAAGATTAACACGTTCCTCTTTGATACTGACCAGATGAAACAAAAAGAAACCACTGTGCACATTCTTATTTATTTTGAGTCCCCTACATAATGCTTATTTTCCTTCAATCTGCTTTGCTGTTGAGTAAAAAAAAAACGTGTACCGTATATTCCGGCATATAAGACGACTGGGCGTATAAGACGACCCCCAACTTTTCCAGTTAAAATATAGAGTTAAGACGACTCCCATGCATAAGACTACACCTGCGTATAAGACGACCCCTGACTTTTGCGAAGATTTTCTTGGGTTAAAAAGTAGTCTTATATGCCAGAATATACTGTAATTTTTTTAAAGCATTGATAAATAGCAAGAGACTATACTACAGACAACTTCTCCTTGTAATGATCTAGAGATGCATGTAGAATGAAAAATCTCAGGCTTGCTAAAATTGTTTAACAAAAAAAATTCAAACATTTGCTGAAATCAACAGTGACCCTATTGTTGTAAGGGAAAGTTAAGCCTAGTCATTTTTCCCCATTTGATGTCTGTGAGAGAACATGACATAATCAGCTAAATTCATAGGACTGTTTATCACACTGGCAATGACCTATTATTAAGCATGCAAATAGGTAATGATATTTTTATTTTGTCATGCCTTTTCCCCCAGCAGCACATTTCACAATGTTTTCAGCTCAGCTGGTTTTTTTGGATGATCATTTCGAATGGATTGCTACCTGCAACTGATATGTAACTATAAACCAGTTAATAGTTTACAGAGTAGACGTTACACAGACAAAAGAGGCTGCAGGACTGGACTCTTAAAGAATCCTGCACCAACTGAAAACTGAAGTTGTTGGCATTGTGACAAAACTTGCTTCCATAAATGTGAAAAGTTAGCTTCAAAAGTGTTCTACTCAAGGTTAAGATTTTAACTGGCAGTTATAACTTCCTAGAAGGGTATGACCTGCAAAATTTGCTTCCAAAATATTTGCTTTATTGAAACTCCAGGGATCTAGAATATAAACTGACATATAAATTCAAATGGGTATCCCTTAGTAGTCCTGTTCCTAGGAAAAGGTATATCAACATACGTAGTATTATTGCTTTCTATTAATATTTTAGCTGATGGATGCTTTTGTTACAAATGGACTCGGTCTCTAACACATAATATGTCATGTTCTGTCACAGAATTAAAAAATTCAATTACCGAGCTTAAATTTCAAATATTTTTTTCATTGCTAATTCTGAAACAGCTGAATATGGTGCCATTCTGTGAAGCATTGATTTAAAACCAAGAGTGGCAAATATATGTTAATTTTTCATATCCCTTCTATAATAAGTGTTACAGATGCTTAAGTATTTAGGGTTGTGAGCTTTGTCAAATATTGGTCTCCTATTATTCCTGAAGTATGATTTCTTTACTTCAGAATGGGAGGAAAAATCAATTTATGACATCCAGAAAATTAAAGCAGCTTCATTTTGGTTGCTTAGGTTATACTAAATAGATAGCAAAGAATAGCATGGTTTAAAGAGATAAATGTCAGGAGCATTTTCTAAAGTAGACATTCAGACTTTTGGATTAATGGAATAGAAGGTCAATAATTGCATGGATTTCAGTAAGCTCAAAAAGAGATGGCATTCCTGTGGTGCTGCTGTGATTATTAAAACATTTAGAATTCACTGCATAGATACCATTCTTAGGTTCAGTGTTTGATTCTGAGGCAGAAGATATGACTCAGTAGGTGGGCCAGTTATACAGATTATAGCAAGATACTTTGATCTTTCTCTCTCCCTCTCTTTTAAAATGCATGTTCTGAATGGACTGTGGAAGAAATGCTTCGAGATTGATTTTGCCTTATTAGTCTCATCCGTTTTCTCCCACCACCTTTTGTCATTTTTTTCAGGCCCCTCCAGATTTTCCGCCGAACCCCCCTGGCCCTGTGCCTACTAACTTCAACCAAGCCCCGAGACTCTCCCTCCAGGATCAGTGGAGAGGGCCACCGCCTCCTCTGCCACCACCACCTCCGCAGGACAGAGAGCCTTTCTTCATGGGAGGTAACATCTTTGTCTGTTTTGGTGGCATTTTATCGGTGTGTTAAGAACTAAGCAGCCATTTCTTCATTCTAGTTATAGGCCAGTCCAAAAGCGGGTGAGTCCGTCACCATTTGGAGATGTGCAATGAGTGATTTGGTTCCAAGTAGTCAAAACAGCATGGGAGCGGATTTAGATCTCTTTCTCAAAGTGTTAATGTTTTCTTTATTGGTTAGCACATTATTACCTCAGAAATTATGTACGTGGTACGTACAGCTTTTCAGGTGTTTTGGACGTCAACTCTCACAATTCCTAACAGCCAGTAGGCTGTTAGGAATTGTGGGAGTTGAAGTCCAAAACACCTGGAGGGGTGAAGTTTTCCCATGCCTGCTTTAGGGTAACATGTGAAAACAGTAGAAGTTTTCATAAGTACACTTTATTTATAACCCATGTAATTTACATTCCATGTTTATAAACCACATAATTTACATTCCGGATTCTAAATTAGTTCTTGATATAGTGATGGAATTTCAAACTGAAGAGATCAGATAGCTGATGGCAGAGGGAGAAACTCTTCTTTAGTTAATAATATTGATATTCCACTCTATCTCTCCGAGGGGACTCAAATCGAATTACTGGTACACATATGGCAAATATTTAATGCCATTATACAATTGACAGAGACAGACAATACATAAACATAGGCAAGGATTCTTTCTTTTCATCTCCGACTTCGGCTGTGCTCAACCTGGCCATGAGGAAGTGCTGTTGTCTCATTTTCCACACCGAGGAGTCTGTCATCCATTTATTTGTTTCCAATATTTCTACCCATCTCTTCTCTACCCTCGAAGGGGGACTCAGTATGGCTTACATTTGGCAATGATTCGATGCCGCTACATATAAACAATTACAATAATACAACAACAATTAAAATACATAAAGCATTAATTAAAACAATAAAACAATATCCTCAGTATTGCCTTTCCCATCAATTTCCAACCAAAGTGCTAATTATGTCTGCTGTCCGAAAGCCTGGTCCCAGAACCACGATTTCAATTTCTTCCTGAAAGCCAGGAGGGATTAAGCCGATCTTATCTCATTTGGAAGCACATTCGACAGGCGGGGGTCCACGGCCAAGAAGGCCCTGTCTCTTGTCCCCGCCAGACGTGTTTGCGATGTTGGTGGGAGCAAGAGAAGGGCCTCCCTGGATGATCTTAAATTATGAGGTGGGACATAGAGGCATGGACTCCTTTCCTGATAGGATTTTTGCTGGCATGTTTTTCTGGGCGCTTTTTACCTCCCTGCCAAAGCGGTACCTATTTATCTACTTACATTGTTGTTTTTAAACTGCTAGGTGAGCATAAGCTGGGTTGATGGCGGTAGCTCACCCTGACCCAGGCTTGAACTACCAACCTTTTGGTTGACAGGATCTTCTATAGCAGGCAGATTAAACCGCTGTGCTAGCCCGCTGTGCTAGTTTGCTCTTAGAGAACTTCAATTAGGGCAGCTGTGATTTTACTGCCAATCAGAATGGATAAAAACTGAAGTAGACAGACAAATACTCTGAACTGATAGACAGTTTTTAAGTAACCTTTTGTGTACACTTGTAATAGGGTGAAGTCTGGAAAGTTTTCTTTGCAACCCATTTGATTTCCTGACTGTGCTTGTTTTCCAGATCCAAGGTTTCCCAACCATCCCTTGTTTGAACAGCGGAGTCCACCTCCTCCACCTCCTCCTCTCCTTAACAGCACACACCCTGTTCCGGGCCAAAACCCACTTGCTTTTGCTCAGCCTGGACCAGGTTTCAATCAGCAGGGGCAACAGCCCATGTTTCCCAGGGACAGGATGGTGAGGCCTAACCTCCAGCCACAGGGCCCAGTGGGAGTCCTTCACTTCAACCAGCCTGGAGCATCAAATACTCGGCCTTTCCTTCCTCCTCGACAGCCGTTCGTACAAGTCCCAGGGCAGCCATTCTTGACAGCTCTCACGCAGCCCAATATGCAGGTATGGCGTTATAAGGTGAGCTCTTAGTTACTGCAGTTTGAAATCTTGTAAATACTTTAGCCTAGATACTCAGAGTATGAGCATGTTGCCCATTGCAAATCATAGAAGCTATTCTCTCTAGCACCCCTTTTTGTGCCATTTTGTGAGATTTTGTGAGCATCATAATTGGGACAAAAAACAGGTCTGCTATCCACCAAAAGATCAGGACTGTGTTATGTAGACTTTAGGAATGAAGGATTTGGGGTTGTTGTTGGGTGGTTTGTTTTTGTTTTTGTTTTGCCTACTCTGCCCTTTGAGCTCTTTTGGAGACTTCAGTGTGTATATGAATATTTGTAGAGGGCCATGTCTCTCCCACCCCAAAAAATACGTCTTGCACTCTGCCTAAGGACAGGGTAAACCTGAACAGATTACTGTATTAATTTTAGCCTTGGCCACACTTAAAAGAACCTGAAACCAATCTTTTGCCTAAGCTGAATGATACGGAAACCTGTGAGAAGCTTTCGTGTACACAGAATGGGAATATTTAATTCCAATTGATGTTACAAATATAGATGAAATTTAAATATGCTTTTATTGCTGTGCCAAGCATGAAAACATGTTTCCCCCCTGTGCCCAATGCTAATTGAATTACAAGGGTTAGTGGCAACTTTATATCAGCATACTCCTTCAAAGTGAAGATATTAAACTGCTTTGATTTTTGTGAGACTGTTCACAGCTAATGGGATTAGAAAAGTTTGTAATGCGACACTTTGTTCAATATTCCATGGTTCCTTAAATTGATTTACTCCACAAGAAATATGAAAATAATCTATTGTTTAAAAACAAGTTCCTGTGCGGCACGTAGATTATGTATGCATGGGACTAGAAAATAGTTGTATTTAGTCACCACAAAGGTTAGAGCACCCTCTGCTGGTGCAGTTGCCTTTCCTATGAATAACACGTTGATAACCGAACACTGCCATTGTGGCCTTTCTAAAAAATAGTCGATATATCAGTTAAACCGCTACAAAAATGTTTCAATGCCTCATTTGTTTTAAAAGGAGGAATAAGATTAGATTTACATGATATTTTTTAACATGGGCTCATTCTTTGCTGCAAATGTGGAGACATTTGCTGGCTTTAGGGGTGCAAAGCTCTCACGAAAGTGGAAAAACTTGTGAATAAAAATAATGCCTTTTTTAAAAACCTGAGAAAACATCTCCCATGGAGTCTCTTAATTCCTTCAGCATGATAAACATCAGGCAAAGGGTGACCATTGGATTATACTGGAAGATCTAGAGATGACCATGTATAAATGTGTGAAGGGAAGTCATAGGGAGGAGGGAACAAGCTTGTTTTCTGCTGCCCTGGAAACTACAGGGTGCAGCAGCATAACTTCCTTTTTTTGAAACTTAATAAAATCCATTGTATGAATCAGAATTTTGTTTTATAATGTAGGTGAATACCTAAAGTTTTGTTTTACGTAGTTTTGAAGATCAAATTAGGTAGGTGACATCCCCCATTCTCCATACACTGAGTAAACTGATTTCTGGTGTTTGTCATGACTGTTGCCAGCATAACAGGCATTATGTTGGCAATTTCTTCCTGGATGTTGGTCTGGAAATCTTGAAGGGTCCTTGGACGGTTCACATAAATACGGGATTTCAAAAATACCCATAGAAAAAAATCACAAGGGGCCAAATTTGGAAAGCGGGCCGGCCACTCGAAATGCCTCAATGGCAGAAGCACGCTCCTCACTGTTCCAACCCATGATGGCGACTGAACTGTGTCAGGACAAAACTTTATACTCCCACCTTTTGAACGAGACCACTAGCGCTCTGCTATGTCTTGAACCAACTGAATGACACACATTTTAAAAAAGGAAGTTATGCTGCCGCACCCTGTAGTACGTGGAGCAATGGCTTCAAACTACAGGAAAGGAGGGTCCACTTGAACATTAGGAAGAACTTCCTCACTGTGAGAGCTGTTCAGCAGTGGAACTCTCTGCCCTGGAGTGTGATAGAGGCTCCTTCTTTGGAGGCTTTTAGGTAGAGGCTGGATGGCCATCAGTCAGGGGTGCTTTGAGTGCGATTTTTCTGCTTGGACTGGATGCCCATGAGATCTCTTCCAGCTTTATGATTCTATGAGAGGTGTTTTCTGTAGGACTATCTAGATCTTGCAGCATGACTTTATATTCAACTTCTAGAACACTGTGTAAATATTATTTATTAGTGCTCCCTTAGCTAAATGTTGGGGCGATGAAAAATTGATCAACAGTAAAAGGTTTCTGAATATCAGCTGTACTTCATAAAAAGGAAGATCAACTTGTTTAGCAAGCCTTGTAAATGCTGATTCATTATCAGTAGTTCTGAAGTTGAATTTGTTTGTAAGTCAGAACAGGTACATTTTAAAAATCAGTCTCAGGCCAGTTGGCTGAGGAGGAAGGGAGGGAACTTGCTGACAGACTCTCGCATTCCTTGTCAGCAAAGGCTTTCGATGGACAAGAAAGGCTCCCTTGCCCCAGCGTTGGGCGAGGAGGAAAGCAAGTGGGCCTGTCAGCAAACTTCCTTCCTCCGCAGCCAACACAAGGGTGAGGGACAAGGGAGGCTGGACGGAAGCCAAGGCTCCCCAGCCTCAGCTGGAGATGAGAGGTGAAAGAGCCTGTTGCCGGCCTCCTTCACCTTGGCTGGGGAGGCACAATTAATTCCACCACTCCCCATTCGTATCTATGAGTTGTTCGTAAGTTGGATGTTTGTAAATTGGGGACTGCTTGTATCTATATATGTAAAAAATTCAAGCGAAAATGGGTTGTGAGTGGAATTTTTTAAAGAGTTGCTGTAGTAGAGATTCCTAGAGAGAGCATTTTATTTAAATCTGTAAATTATCAAATCTGCAAAAGTCAAATCTGTAAATTTGGAGGGCAGACCGTAATTGTGGCACCAGGCTGCTGATTAAGTTCCAGAATTGGACCATTTGGGAGCAAAGTTTTGCTGAGTGTGCAACATATATGGGTTTTTTCTTCGACTGCATAGGGTCCCTTGCACCCACCTTTGCCGCAACACCAGCAGCACCCGCAGCTACCACAACAGCATCAGCACCAACAACCGCCGCCTCCGCACCCCCAGCATCAGCAGCATCCTCCACCACCACAGCAGCATCACCAGCAGCATCAGTCCCACCAGCAGCAGCACCACCTCCTTGCTGTGCCTCCTCAGCCTCTGATTTCGGTTGCCCCGTCCCAGTTTAGGCCTCACATGCAAACTGCTCAGCAACAGTCAAACAGCAACCGAATGCAGTGCCAGCAACGGCAAGGTCTGGTAAAGGCCAGGCATGTAAGTATCAATGAAAAGATTGCAGAAATGAGGATGTATTAGAAGACAAAAGTGCCTCTAAATTCATAGCATAAAACCAGTCATTATTTATCTGTCTTGTTATTATTCTCTTCTTTCTTGGGGTCATATGGAGTAATAGCATAAACTCCCATTTGCCCTATATCAAGAACCCCACTGGATGACATTGCAAAGATGCAATGGTAGAGGAGTAATCCCAGTCTTCTACAGGTGACTGTTAGATTCATTGCTTAGATGCAGATCAACAGAGAAGATAAGCATTTTTTTCAAGCCCAGCAATCCTCAACAGTCAGTGCACTGTTTAACACAAACAGGGAATCTTATCTGGGAAGAAGGGGAAAGAAATCTGATTTTGGAACTCCCTCCAGCTCTCAGTCAGACAATGCCTTGAAGCCCTCCCTTGCATCACTGACTGAAACTGCTTTAGGACTAGTAGTAGTGATGAGTAGATAAGGCAAAAGGAACCTTGCTTTAAGGTTCATAGTCAAGACAAGGTAAATGGAGGAGAATATATAGCTGAAAGAATATATAGCTGAAAGATTGTAGCATAAACTGATAGCAAGAGAGAAGCTTTCTGGTGTGGTTTCTGTCAAAGGCATAGAAAGAAAACTGAGTAGGACTCCACAGGACTGTCTTATCATGAATGCTAAAGGATAGTTAGGGAAGGCCGTGTTTGAAGGTGATGTTAACAGCAATTGTCCATCTCTTGTTACATATCCTGTAATGTTATAGAGCATCTCTTGCTCTTTCCTTTCTTATCTGTTCCCTTGACTTTTCAAACCAGGTAGCATTTCTGTTTCTCTCCTCCCATCCCTCTTTGGTTCAGCTTTGCTTATTGAGAACCTTCTGCAGGTGAATGAGTTCATATCTTCACTCACTTCAATAAAAATAATTTAGTGCTGGTAGAAAGCCAAGTTTCTGAGGACATCCAGCTGGTTTATAGTTATGCTCCTTCTTCTGGTCATCTTTTGAAATTACCATCCTATTTGTACTTTATTAAGAGCTGTGGTTATTGCAAGGTGCACAGCAAAGAGGAAGTACTTTTGAACATGGTAATAAAATAACAAAATCTTTACTTTAGGCTGCCTTTTAAAAACTAGAGTTTATTGATTTTTCCAGAATGCACCAACACAAAATATTGCAAAGCGTCCAAATCAGCAGCTCCAGCCGCCTGCTCAGAGGAACAGTAACTTGCGTGAACTACCAATCGCACCTTTGCACGCAATCGAAGCTGTGAGCAACCACCGAACCTCAACGCCTGCTGCTCAAGTGAAACCCATTGCCAGCACCACCCCTGCAGTAAGGCCTGTTCCAGCCATGAAGAATGAGCAGGGAAAAACTGAGACAAAACCCAAAGTTGTTACTCCTGTAGCACAGCCTAAAGTGGAACCAAAATCTGAGCAAGAGGTATGGGATTCCACATTTCTCTTTATTTTTTATGGAAAGGAACCTTTTTGTTCTAGATATAAATAGTGGAAATTAGAATGGAACATGGCTATTTGTGGGTTCTAGTTTCTTTTATGCTTTCTTTCTGTTTATGTTTTTCTGATTACCTTATTTGTCAGTTAATTATGAATAATAGGCAAGAGAATTATGTCTTCTGAAAGCAGGTCTTGACTTTTACTGTTTAAAATATTGAGGTTCTTCATCTCATTGTTATATATATGAAAAAAATTAAAGTATAGTATCTTCAATGACCCATAGATAAGTAGATCTGGGTTTTTGACAAAAATTTCTAGATTTCTACATTAGTAAACTGAGTAATTGCCAGTAGAGGAAACCCAGTGTGCCATACAGGAATTGAATGTTTGACTTTTATATTTGGAATCTGCCCTGAGTCCCTGCAGGAAGATAGGGCAGAATATAAATAAAGATGATGATGATGATGATGATTATTATTATTATTATAGGAAGGCTTTCTCCGACATGTTAATTTTCAGTTGGAGTTCAGTTGTGCTTCCCATATTTTGTTTATATTTTTCTTTAGGTTATTTTCATATTCCCTAAAAGCAGGGTCTCCTTGTAGCATCCGGGGGAGATATTGATTAGGAATAGATATGGGTTCATTCATTAATAATCAACTTATTATTATAGTGTTCAGTGAAAAATTAGATTTGATTTCCCTCTACTCAGTGATAATGATAACAATAAAAGTGTGATGGCATCCACTAATTCTTTATCCTTAAATTGTCTCAATCAAAATGGAGATTGTAGTCAAGAAATCAGAAGACTAGGCCTTGGAACAGTGGTTCGCAACCTTTGTTTCTAAAGATGTTTCTGACTTTAGCTGCTACAGTTCCTAACAGCTGGTCTGATGACTGGGATTTCTGGGAGTTGAAGTCCAAAACAATGAATGGGCCCTAGAACAAATCAGCTAAGAAGTCTCCATAGAACAGTGGTTCTTAACCTACAACTCCCAGAAATCCCAGCCAGTTTTCCGGCTGTTAGGATTTTTGGGAGTTGAAGGCCAAAATATCTGAGGACCCACAGGTTGAGAACCACTGCCTTAGAAGCTATATTTTTTTTAATTAAACAGCTATATGGGGAGTATGTGCAATTTAATGTGTTTCTAACCCCCCCCCCCCTTCCCCTTAATGGGGCATTAACTTTCTTCCATTATTGCACTTTGGCTCCTTTCAGCTGTTTGCTCTAATTTTTTTGCTCTAAATGTGAATAATAATAATAACAACAAAAACAAAAACAATAATAATAAACTTTATACCCCGCCACCATCTCTCTGAAGGGACTAGGGGTGGCTAACATGATGCCAAGCCCAAAAATTACAATAAGGCAAAGTAAATACATACAATGTACAATCACATCAAATAAAATGCTTAACATCAAATAAAGTGCTAAACGTTAACAAAAAATAACAATAAAATAACCACAAAATATGAAATGGTAAAAAGATTAAACACAGTGGGCTGGACCAAATGCAAAGGATAAAATTATAAAACCCCTGGGTAAGATAGATAAATAGAGTAGAGTATGTAATGGGAGACTCAGGTGGGCAAATAATGGAGTTAATCTTCACAGAGGGATAAGATAAAGGGCAGATTAGTACTGTGACGGACAAGGTATGGGGGTTTGTTGTTCATTCCCCAAAAGAACACTGGAAAAGCCAAGTCTTTAGACTTTTCCTAAAAACTGCTAGGGTGAGTGCTTGCCTGATCTCCCTGGGTAGTGAGTTCCAGAGCTAAGGGGCCACCACGGAGAAGGCCCTCTCCCTCGTCCCCACAAACTGCACTTGTGACGGATGTGGGAGCAAGAAGAGGGCCTCCCCCGAAGATCAAAGAGATCGTGCAGGTTTGTAGAAGGAAATGCGATCATGAAGGTAGGCGGATCCCAAACCGTTCAGGGCTTTGTAGGTGATAACCTGCACCTTGAATTGGGACCGGAAAATAAACGGCAACCAATGGAACTCCTTAAACAGGGGGGTAGACTGCTCCCTGTAATTCGCTTCAGTTAGCAGTCTGGCTGCCGAGTGTTGCACCAATTTCTGGACCATCTTCAAGGGCAGCCCCACGTAGAGTGCATTGCAGTAGTCCAATCTAGAGGTAACTAAGGTATGGACCACTGTGGCTAGATCAGACTTCACGAGGTACGGTAGCAGCTGGCGCATGAGTTTTAGTTGTGCAAAGGCCCTCCCAGCCACCGCCGACACCTGAGCATCAAGCATCAACGGTGAATTCAGGAGGACCCCCAAACTGCGGACCTGTGTCTTCAAGGGGAGTGCAACCCCGTTGAGCACAGGTTGCCACCCTATACCCCAATCCAACAGGAAGTAACTGTAAAAATGATCTATGGACATGATGCTGTTTTTCACCAGTTACTTTCCTAGTTTTCCTTTCTTTTTAAAGCATTTGCATACAGCAGTTGTGGCCAAAATGCAACTTGCTTGGTCATTTCATGTTTTGAACAAAAAAAATCCAAGTGAACTTAAAAAATCAGGGAGGATTGGAATAGACAATTGCAGATAAAGTATATAGAAGGTTTCCATGAGAGAACTAAGGATCGAAGCGATTACTATCACATAGGGCTGGGCGGTTTCGTTTCGTTAATTCGTAATTCGTTAATAATTTGTTAATTTTTTCAATTACAAAACGATAACGAACCATTCTGGAGCAATTTTTCAAAAAAACGAATTTTTAAATAGTTTTGCAAATGCTTCGTATTTCGTTATTGTATTCGTTTCGTTATTGTTTTGAGGTCGTTTCGTTATTATTTCCGCATGTCTGGGGCAAGTTTTATGGTTGTTTTTTGTTTAATTAGTGAAAAAAAATTATAATATCACACCAACAGTCAACAACAGAGGGAGAGGGAAGCTTCAGAAGTTTTTGGAGGTTTTTTAGGGTATTTCGCGGTCGCGTCCGCCATTAACGAATCGATTCGTTATTGTTTCGGAAATCGATTCGTTAATGTTTAGTAATTTTTTTCACATTTACGAAATTTCGTAACTTTTTAAAAGGAAAATTTTGTAATTATTTTAAATAACGAAACGCAAAACCCCCCAAAAAACGAATCGATTTTAGAAACAAATTTTTCCGTTTTTACCCAGGCCTACTATCACACAGTCTTTCCCACCCTTGTGTCTATTGGATGTTCTGGACTGTCGCACTCATCATCCCAGTCTGAAGATGATACTGAGATTTTAGTCCACTATTGGTGGAAGTTATATTAAGCTGGAGAAGACTACTGTGTGGAGTTAGAATGTGTGTGTTGTGTTATAGCTTCTGTCAGTTTTGTCATTGGTTCTATATGTGTATCAATATATGTTTCTCAGGCCTGCTACAGTGCCTTTTTTCCTGTCTTTTGTAAAACTCATTTAGTACAGTAATAATACAACTAACAACTGCATTTTTTTTCAGAAGTATTTTAAAAATTCTTCCTCTTAGATACATTTAATAAGGCAGTGATAGAATGAAAAAATATGCAGTGAGTTGGTGACTTGCACGGAAGATCTAAACTATTATGTTGCATAAAATGGAGCAATTTCTTATCTTTTGTATTATCCATGGCCATACATATCAGAGGTTACTATCACGGAGCAACCTTTGGAAGCACCTTTTTATGTTCTTGATTTTCCCTAGCTTCTTCCAGAGTTTTAGATCCTCTGGAAAGGTTATTTGACACACAAAGGGCATAATACTTTTCAGAAAAGCTTAAGGCCAGAATATTAAAGCCATTCCTGATATGCCATTAATATTCCAACACAGCATTTGGCAACATTTTAATTCTGAAGAGAGTGCATGAGTTCAAGGTCAGAGAGATTGACTTGTGCTGTTCATTATAACCAATTATTGTGTGACAAATGAGTTTCTATCAGGCTGAAAATTCTGTAAGAAAAATCAATAGTTCTAATCAGGGCCTTTCAGGTCATTTACCATCCTACCTTTTGTTAGTTTGTCAGAAAAGAGCAAGATAAAACCTATGTGACACTGGGCTGCCTCTGTATTGTTACTGGTTCCATTTTAAGCCATATTTTTAGATCTTCAATTATATTAATAGTTTAATTGGTTTCAGCAACTTTTGAATGAGTTCTGATTTAGACAGCTCCAGTTTCAGCATTTTGATTTTCTATTTTTCTAAAGTTCAAAGTGAAGACATGTATTCTTTGACTCTTCCTAGCTCAGCTAATTAACAGCTAATAAACTCTTGTTGGGAGCTGCATCCTTAAAAGCATCGTTTCTCAGTTAATTTAAAATACTTCTTGGAGAGATCCTGCCGTTCTATTCCTTCCCTTCAAGAAATAATAGGCATTTTGACCCATCCGGCATATTATTCCTGTTTTGTTTTTTATTCTGTAGCTTCCCGAAGAAGATGAAGAGACCCGACTTTACCGCTTGAAGATAGAGGAGCAAAAGCGTCTAAGAGAAGAGATCCTTAAACAAAAGGAGCTCAGGCGACAACTTCAGGCCGGTGCTCGAAAAAGAGAGTTGCTCGAAAGGCTGGCCCAGCAGCAGCCTCAGCAGCCGCAGCAACAACAACAGCAGCAACAGCAGCAGCCGCAGCCGGGTTCTTCAGTACAACATCAGGAGGAGGAGACATCACAGTCACCCACCAATGGAAATCCACTGCTTCCCCTCCCTGGTGCACCACCCCGCCAAAATGTGAAATACAGGCTGATGGGTAAAAAACAAGACCCATTAATTCCCAACCCACCTGCTGTTCAGCCTAAGCCCACAAATATTCTGCAGGCCGGAGATAACGCACAGTTTCAAGGACAGCAAATAAAAACAGTGAAGCAGCTCAGACAGACTAGGACGGTGCCCGAAAACGAACTCCCGTCCCCATATAAAGGGCTGCAAACCAGATCTGGTGGAGTGCACTTGATGAACCCATCTCAGATTGCGCGGGTGGCATCGGTACAAGGCCAACCTCAGGAGCTGAAACCTGGGGTGAAAAGGACTGTCATGCAGCGGGCAAACAGTGGTAGTGGAGATGGGCCCCATGTCGGCGCCAAAGTCAGGGTGATTAAGTTGTCAGGAGGGGTAAGTTACCAGGCTTGTCTGTCGGTTGTTCTCATGTGGTTTGTTTGTGGTCTGTGTCTGTCTTTTTGGCGTCACTGGCAAAGGCCCAGAGATAGCAACATTGAAAGAAATAGCTTTAGCAAACTTTACTTCCTTCCCAGGTATTTCCCTGTTATTTTTCAGCTGGAACGATGATATCCGCAACTACTTAAAAAAATCACCCCTACTGATAGAATACACACACTTTTCCCATTAGTGGAATCCTGAAGGGTCTCCTTGAGCTGATGGCGGTGTGCCAGACGTTGACATGGTAAACAGAACCAACAGACAGAGCACAGATACCATGTGGAATGGAAGTACTCAATTCCCTGATCCAACTTTACATCTAAATGGAAACCTGTCTGATTTAACTGCAGTCTTAAAAGGGGAACTGAGGGTTGTAGTGGATGACAGACCAAGCATGAATAATCTGTAGTTATGTTCAGAAACAAAACGTGCTCCCATATGGAGAAAGGATAACATTCGCGAGGTGCACAATTTAACACAAGGTGCACAATTTAACACAAGGAGAATCTCTTAGTTCAGTCCTCATCACAACATGAGAACTAGGTAAACATTTGGGATGACACACCTGAGAAAAACATTAAATTGAAACCTAAAGAACAAATTGCATACAAGCCAGGAGGTGCTTTATGTTTCAAAGTAGTGAATAATAAATGAAAAGAATTCAGTTTGCACCAGATATTCGTAAGGAGAGCAGTAAGAACTGCATTTATCAGAAAATGAAAATGGACAAAATGTTGAGCAGTTATTCCTCTTAAATTTAAGATGAGGAAACAGGTTCAAGCTGAAAGTTGAAATCATTGTTGGCACCTTGAATTGTTAGGATAGGAATTGCCAGTAAGAAAGAGGTTAGCTGTACACAACAAAGAAATTTCCCACTGGTCCAGATGGTGATGATATTGCAACACATTGAAGAGTAGCTAGGAAGGCTTCGCATCAATGTTTTTCTACCTCACTCTCCATGGTAGTAGTTATGTCCTGTCTTGTATGTCAACAGACAACAAACAGCAATCAGTAGTATGTATTGACAGATAGTGAGGAGAAAAGAGATTGATAAAGACAAGGCAGAATGTAGCTGATATGTACATCATGCTGTGTGTGAACATATAGTCCTTCCAAGTGGAATTCTTTTCATAGCAAGAATGAATTTCATCCTACTCTTGGGAAAAATAATGCCAAACAATATTTGGGCTAAAATAGACTTTTTAAAATCCAGTTTTTACTGCTGGTTTTTCACTAAAGATCTGACCAGTTCCATGGAGTTGGACTTCAGTCTTTGCAGTTCATTTGGTCGTATCCTCTGTTCATTAGGGAACAACGTAGTTAGATAATTTAAACAGTGTGGATAATCCTTCCTCTCAGTAATAATTACCACTACCTCCTTCCCCTAGTCGTGGTCAGAGTATTGGGCCTCAGAATGAGAAAGTGGTTCAACATAAAAGGAAGTAGTTTTAGGATACTTCTCATTAAAAAGAGCTTAATAGAGAACAGTTCATTAGTTGAGTGTAAAAAATCTAGAGAGGCTGTAGAATCTCTTTCTTTGGAAATTTTTGTGTAACAACTGGGTACATATTTGAGGGATGCTTGATGGGTGAAGAATAAAACAGAGGCTTTATTCATGGCAGAGGCATCTATGTGAAACCAGATATTCTTTCAAAAACTTTTGCTGTAACATTTTCCACTGCTAAAGAGGCAAGTTGCTGTTTAGATGGCAGGTTGGTATGCCTCCTTGGCAGAACTTCAGCAAGACCTCTAGCTGTGTGTCTGGTCCAGGCCTTCCCACACACAGAGTTGCTTTGGACCAAGGCCAAAGTTTCCTGTCTTAGTGAATGGGATAGGAGGCCATTTATCTCATTACTCCTCGCAGGAATCATATACAAGAATTTTGACAAGTTGGTTTTATTCAGTATTAGTAATAGTTACACTTTTCTCCCTTTCCACCTTGAAAATTCTAATACACATTTAATCCAGTGCAAATGATTTGAATTCCTCATTGCAGCAGACTTGTTGCCAGGAACACCTCCTAAGGCCAGTGAGAGTCCTGCCAAGAGTGCCTGGCTTTTCTACTGTACCAGCAGTCAGCTTCTTTTCAACTTCAGTCAGAAAGGAGGCAAAATGTGCTTCTCCTTGCCCCTATTAGAAACTAAGTGTACTTTTTGTTGTAGTGTACTTTCAAAGGGGTTCCCTGGTGGTGCTGTGGGTTAAACCTCTGAGCTGCTGAATTTGCTGACTGAAAGGCTGGCAGTTCAAATCCAGGGAGCAGGATGAACTCACGCTGTTAGCCCCAGTTTCTGCCAACGTAGCATTTCATAAACATGCAGATTTGAGTAGATCAGTAGGTGGGAGTTATGTTGGCCAAATGACCTTTGAGGTGTCTACGGACAACGCCGGCTCTTCGGCTTAGAAATGGATATGAGCACCACCCCCTGAAGTCAGACTCGGTTAGACTTAATGTCAGGGGAAACCTTTACCTTTACTTTACTTTAAAGTTGTTTCCAACTATGATGATCCTAAGACAAATCCATTATAGGGTTTTCTTGGTGAGGTTTATATAGAGTAGATTTGCCTTTGTCTTTCTCTGAGACAGAGACAGTGTAATTTACCAAGGTCACCCAGTGCATTTCCTTGGACCCCAGTTCCCCAGAATGATAGTCCAAGACTCTCCACCAGCTGCATTTCTATACAACATGTAGAAGGTTAACTTCCTCTTAAGCATACCTTATATCAACAAAGAAGGCTGGTGGCGTTTATATGCTAGACCTTCAGCTAGAAAACTTCCTGGTCATCTAGCACTTAAATACAGCAGGGTTGCAGCAAACTGAGATAGCAATCCATGCCTCTAGTACCAGCAAACCTTAATTTATGTTCTGGACACACACCACACTACGTTGAAAATACACAGCTCTGTCTGATTTAGGAAGCTAGCGAGGGTTATACCTGGTAAGAGACCCCCAGTGATATTCAGGTAATGCTAGGTAGAAATCAAAACATCCAGATAAGAAAAGAGCAATTTCTCATTGAGACTAACTTTTCTTTCCATAGTGGAATTTTTCAGCCTTATAGTACAGAAAATTGAAAGTATAAAACATTCAGATTAAGATACTTGATTAAATTTTCAGTAGTTTGTCAAAAAGCTACAGCTATGTTACTTTATTCCACATCTTGCACACAGGAAAGCGAAATTTTTGGCACCAGAGAACACAGTCTGGCTGATTTTGATAGTCTGAGAAGTAACTTTGTCAAAGCTCCATGTGAGGTTAAGATCCATTTTTTTGCATGTTTTGAGTCTTGTGCTGAGTTTCTCTGGCTCTCAGTCCCCTTTGAATTATGTGTGTGTTCTTTTGTGTCAACATTTTGAGTGGCCCATCCAAATCTGAACTGTTTGGTGTCATATATGTCATATTCTGTCTAAACAGTACATTGATTTTTCCAGTACTGCAACACTTCATGCAAATGTTTAGATCTATCACTCCTTTGAAGAGCTTGATTTTGTTTGTTTGTTTGTTTGTTTGTTGTTGACAAAAATAAGATGCTGGAATTATTGGAGAAATTTTCAGCACAAATGTACTGTTGCATTTGGAAACACCAACAATATTTGCTTGATAATGCAATCTTACTGTTGTCTTCAAGCATGTGAATTGAAGCAAAGTAGCCAAACAACTATCTTCACTAGAAATACATTCAATAATAATAGATTGGTTTTCAATAAAAGTTATCATTTGGGGCTGTTTCATAATAAATGTTTTGTCAGAAAGCACTTGTGCAAGTTGGAGTTCTACAGGCAGACTGTCAAGTGTGACAGTTGAGTGCTCAGATTTGTTGCTTTGATGCTCACTGTGGGAATGTTTATCTTACATGCATGATTTTAAGTAGCCTTTGGATAGCAGCCAATAGTGAAGACTTGAAAAGAATGATTTCTTGTGGAAGCATACTATAGAATTGCACTGGAGGACCTAGAAAATGCTTAGAGAGAACACCTTTCTAGCATTTTGTAGGTCCTACAGCACACAACTCTGTCAACTTTTGATGAAAGCATACCATTAGATGACTTAGAAAATGCCTATTTTTCAGACATGGGTAAGTGAAATCATGGACACTACTCCTACTGGTATGAGGGTAGTACTTCATGTTTTTTACAGTAATTTTCAGTTGGTTTATTGGGTGGCATCAAAAAACACTTCATTTTTAAAAAAGTGCTCTTGAACAATGAAGTGTTATTGTCGGAGAGTGGCCTACTACCTTTTTCTTTTCAATTGGTGCCTGTTCTTTGCTTTCCTTTTCTTCTTTTACCCATTCCCCATGGAAGAGAATTTGTCAAGGAGCTCAGTAGGAACAATGGTGATATTTTGGTTGCTATCAACATTGCTTCTTGGTGTGGTGGCTTGAAAAGAAAGTGGTCTGATTAACCTGCCCAGCATCACCAAAACACTGGCTGGTTTAGGCTAGGACATAAGGCTGTAGTTTTGCAGACTTCCTAAGATTAATCTCAGGTATTATGTCTGAATAAGCTGATCCAGGCAGGGTCTTGATCTCTTCTATAGATCTGTTCCTTTTCTGTGCATTTTAACTAACACTTCTATGCGATTAAATGTCTTTAAAGCTTTCTACCTTTGTACTTAACAGCCTAAAATTAATTCTAATCAAACCTTCCCCTTTTAAAATATCGGTGTCAAAGTCTGAAAAACGTCTATACAGAAGTTGCATATAATGCATATATGCATATTTACATTTTGGTATGCATAAAATAAACATATGTGTATCCACAAAAGCTTAAGAAAATTAGAATACACTGCTATTTTTGCTTCATGAATCATTGTCTCAACGCAAAATTCCTAGGCTAACTTTAATGACTCTTAACAATACATATCTAGCATTAATGTATTGTATCAGCCGAGTGTATTTCCCTTTTGAACCCGCTTGACTGTGTTTTAATCAAAGCAACGTATGGCTTCTGTTAT